TGCAATTAATTCGTAACATAAAAATAGCCGAAATTGTACTCAAAATTACTGAAATTGCCATTGCATTAGTCCAAAATTATCCTTTTCAATTTAGTCAATTTAGTTATAAAACAATGGCAATTTAAGTAATATTGGAATCAATTTTGTACATTCTCCTAAATGTACTTCTCTTTTAATATTATAGAGATAAGAAATAGGGTTTTTGTAGGGTTTATAATCACTTGTAACGGAAGTTAGTATATATATAGTAATTTTGATTGGGTTTGGGATCAGATTCCTCAAGGCATTTATCAAATCTGCAAGCCTACACCTAGGGGCCAAGACCGGTGGTTGTATCTCATCGGGCAGAAAATTGCTCTCCGTTACCGTTGTTCCTCTAGGAGCATTCGAGTCAAAACAATTTTTTTTTTAAATATATTTTATTATTGGAAACCGGTTACAAGCCGTGACGATAGTCACACAGTTTTTACAAATAAGTAAAAAACGGGAAAACATATTATGACCACAAACAATCGTATCTTCCGCTACGATTGACTTTAGTGCTAAGGATGATAAAACTTTAGCCACGTCCGCCTTTGTTTCCACGTCCTCGGCTTCCACGTCCTCGACTCGAGGGCTGACAAAGCATCTCCTTCGCCTTTGCTGATGGTTTAACCAGTCTTTCTCGAAGGATCCGTTTCCCTAAAGGTGTCATAAGGTCCATCGAATCCATTTTTAAATCTGATGACTCTTCTTCTTCAAGAGAGAGATCAATGAGGCAAACATATTAGAACCAAAAACGGGCTCAACCGTTCTACTACTATCGCCATGGATAGTAGATTCTGCTTGAGCACTTGTAGGAGGGGTGGCTGCTAAATTACAGGCAGACTCCAAAGTAGGAGACTCAACAGTTTCGTTGATGATGACCATTGTAGGAGCAGAGACAGACATATTCTCGGTCGTGACCTCAATGCTAGCATCCACCTCAGCCACAATATCTCCATTATCAACTATATGTGATTCTTTGACTGCTTGTAAACAACGTTTTTCTTTGTGTCCAAGCTGACCACATCTTCCACATTAAGAAGGCAACCAAGCGTATTCCACATCAACCATGGAAATAATTCCATTTTTATCATTCGCAGCGATTCTAGAAGGAAAAGCTTTACTCAACTCTACTTCGACCAAGATCTTGGCTTCACCCATAAAAATGGGGTCTAACTTGGGTTTGTGAGTTGCCATAGGAGCACCTAAACCCGAGGCTATATGACTAATTCCAGAGATATAATATAAGATGTTTGGAATTTTCTTTAGAGTTACCCACACTGAGATTGTCTTAATCTCAGGAATAGCTAACGATGCTTCTGGATTCCATGAAGCAACAAACATTAGACAGTCATCAACATGCCATAGTCCCCTTTGGAGAACCCAAGTCCTAGTCGATTCATCAGGGATGTGGAACAAGTAATTAAATTCTCCATGTTTCCTAATAGTTATTCTGCAGTTTTTGCCCCATAACTTATTGAAGACTGCAAAAATTAACCCCCCCAAATGGTGGAGAACATCTATAAAACTGTCCCAATACGTATTCTTTATGATTCTCTAGTACTTGCAACAAGACATGATTAGGAATGGTTACGTTCGGAGTCCCGTCATCAAGATATTCCGGCTCAAAATATTCCGGCTCAGTTGCTCTGTAAAGATTCCTTGATGATGGGTTCAATTTCGCTGCCCAAGGAAAACAGATATTATCTTCAACTGCTAGTGTTGTCCGTGTGTTCTGCTGATGTCGAATCTGGTGATTATGAGATCGTGAGACAGATAATGAAGGCCACTCTGGAGTAATTCCAGAAATGCGAGATGGTTGTCGAGAAGTTGAGACGGTAGAGTTCAACTTCTTAGCCCACGCACCTTGAAGAGAAGGAACCTGGATGGAACCAAGAATAGTATCAACATTATCCTTGTTTGCGAGTCCCTTACCAGGAGCCACAGAAGCCGCTGGTACCGAGACAGGAGCAGGAGCTGTTGATGGTGGTACGGAAGGAGAAGACGATGCAGGGCGAATGACAGAGACATCGGCTACATCTATTCCTTGAGAGCACACAGCCACATCAGTTGTTGAAGCCTGGATAAGTGGAGCATCTGGTGGTGCGAGCATGGATTCCGGCGAAGAGGAAGTTGCAGGGGAGGTCGAAATTGGACGCGGAGACAAACCCGACATGTCTGGGTCGATTGGCTCCATGACGAGATGAGATGATGAAATTAATTGAAGAGGGGATCACTATCGGAAGAAGAGATAGAGAGATCGGCAACAATTCTGCATCGGCGAACTCGCCGAGAGAGATTGTGTGAAGATTAGGATTTTGTTTTAGAGATCGTCTTTTAAGGGTGCGTGGTATAGCGCATGGTATTCTTTCCTTAATAAACAACCATCATCAAGTCAAAACATTGATTTTTCTTTAACATTTTTAATGACCAAATATGTATGTCTCTGAATAAAAAAATATTAAAAACACGCTCTTTCTTATTTTTACTCAATTTTATATCTTCTCTTTCATTCTTTTACTCAATTTTTATTAATTTTATATTTAAACACACTCCAATTTTCATTCATTCTCTCTCCAACTTTGTCTTCCCCGAGACATTCTCTCTCCAATAATACTCACTATCTCATCTCTTTACTCAAATTTTATTAATTTTATATTTCAATATACCCCATTATTTCAACCAAAAACACACTTTTTTTTTACTCAATTTTTAATAATTTTATATTTAAAAACACATACAAAATGTCTCTATGTTCTTATACTTATAGATGATATGTAAGAAAAACAGCTTGTTGAAAAAAAAAAATGTC